CCAAAAAAAAAAAAAAAAAAAAAAAAAAAAAATAACAGGCAACCGTTACTGATCTGTCATTATGTGCCAAGAACAATTCAACATCCTGTACACGTATTAACCCATTTATTCCTTACTCTAAGAGGTGGGTTCTGTTATTTCCATTTTATTGAGGAGAAATGGAGGAACAGAAAGGTTAAGCGACTTGCTCAAGGCTCCCCAGTAAATGGCAGAGTGGGTACTTGACCCCAGGAGGTCTGGCACCAGTCTTGGAGCTAAAATACAAAATCTGTATTACCATCTAAACAATGAAATAGTGTGTGCCACTGCTAAAGACATCCATTTAAAAATCTTTGACTCCCATTGTATAATTAAGGAAACTAACACCTCAACTTCTACTCCGCATCTTTGTCCTTGCCCTGAATGTGTCTAGCAAGCAGGATTTTACTACCTATTATTCCTGCCAAAACTCAGTAAAAAGGCGATTTGTTCTTTTTCGGAGGAACAAAGAAAAGGGTTTTAAGCCAAACTTGGACACAATTTACAGCAGTCTGCCTACAGCAGAGGTTCTCGACCTTGCACCCAGAACCTTGGTTCATTACAGAAAAACTCTCAATAAAGAAGTGGGAAATTCAGATATGGGCAGAAATGTACATAGGGCACTGTCTTCTCTTGGGGATGAAGAGGGAAGAACCAGGGGTGGGATTCACTGAAGAGGATGCTCACTGGTGAGAGTTTAAAATCCTTGGAAGGCAACTTGGCAAGAGCTATCCAAAACTTGAGAACGGAACCTAATCCCTGAGCTGGCAATTCCACTTAGAAATGCACTCAAAGGTTCACTTCTGTCCGTACCAAAGTTGTTTATAAAAGGGAAAAACTGGGCTTCCCTGGTGGCGCAGCGGTTGAGAGTCCGCCTGCTGATGCAGGGCACGCAGGTTCGTGACCCGGTCCAGGAGGATCCCACATGCCGCGGAGCGGCTGGGCCTGTGAGCCATGGACACTGAGCCTGCGCGTCCAGAGCCTGCGCTCCGCAATGGGAAAGGCCACAACAGTGAGAGGCCCGCGTACCGCAAAAAAAAAAAAGGGAAAAACTGCAAAGATTCTGAACATTCATTACAACGAGATCAACTGAATAAGTTATGAATGAATCAACACAAATATATTTGATGGAATATCACACAGCCACTGAAAATGGCATTTGTGTAGCGACTAAAATGGGGTTACCTGAAATAAAAACTTGTTACAAAGAATTCCATACACCATGTCCCATTAAAAAAAACACTTTTTAACAGGAAAAAAGACTGGCAAAATGTTAGCGGGATTATTGATTTGTTTTTGTGTTTTTACATGTTTTGGGTATATTTGAGAATGACTATATATAATACTATAACCAGACTTAAAATTGTGTTTAAAGGGAAAATATGTAGAACAGAACATTTTTCTGTTAGACACATTCTGCAAATGTTTGGTTCAAATCTTTTTAAGTATATTAAAAACTATAATAAATAAAAACACTTATACTCAGATGAGCTGACACCACCATCAAGACACGAGGGTAGGGCTGAGGTATGTGGCTGGCTTAACTAGGCTTTGTGCAACCCATGGCCCAAGATCACGAAGGGAACTGTTAAAATGCTAAGTGAAATAAGCCAGACAGAGAAAGACAGATACTGTATGATATCACTTATATGAGGAATCTAAAAAATACAACAAACTAGTGAATATAACAAAAAAGAGGCAGACTCTCAGACACAAAGAACAAACTAGTGGTGGCCAGTGGGGAGAAGGGACGAGGCGCAATACAGGGGTAGGGGATGAAGAGGTACAAACTGTTAGCTATAAAATAAGCTACAAGGATATATTGTACAACATGGGGAATATAGCCAATATTTTATAATAACTATAAAAGTAGTATAACCTTTAAAAATTCTGAATCACTCTATTGTACACCTGTAACTTATATAATATATATCAATTACACTTTAATAAAAAAAACCTTGCCATTTGCAAAAACTTATCTTTGCAAATTAAGATTCTGTCAATATTAGACAAATAAGACAAAGCATAAATGAACGTTGAGGCTTATAAAGACTTTGTCACACATTACCCCTGATTTCAATTGACTGTGTTCGTCTAAAAAACCTCATTGCCTTCTTAGACTGAATCGAGGAGTTAGTCATAAGTACGAAAGAGGGTTTATAAACAGGGTTTTCAACCTTGGCGCTACTGACATTTAGGACCAGATTCTTTTTGGTGTGTTATTCTGCTCTCCTGTGCATTGTTAACCAGCATTCCTGGCTTCTACCCACCAGATGCCAGTAACACCCCTGCAGCTGTGAGAGTCAAAAATGTCTCCAGACTTCGCCAAATGTCCCCCTGCAGGCAAAATTATCCCCAGTTGAGAACCACAGCTTAATACTGATCAAACGCTGCACCGATCGATTTTTATGTTGGGGTTTTACCTAACAATTTAGTTAATGAAAAGAACTTCTTCTGCTTAAACATAAATTGCTTTAAAGGATAAAGGTTTCCACTTTCAGATTCTGGATTCCAAAGCTGCTACCCACTAGCTGTTGGCATTTACCTGACCCTTCTGATCAGCCAGCTGCTACCTCATCTGAAAAACAGGAACAGGAATACATGCGCTGGGTTAAATGAGACAACTTATGGAGGACCACGCCTAGGAGATGCTCGAGAAATCAAACCTGCTGTTATTGTCGTGGCTGCTGTGGTTAAGGGGCCGGCAGCCCGGCAGGTCTTACCCGATCTCTGCAGATTCTTTCGGTACCCGCTGAGATTCAGCTGGGTGACAGTCTCTGACACGTGTGCGACAGCCACCTGCACATGCTTTTCAGTGAATTCATAGCACCAGGAGAGGTTCAGTTCATCCAATCTGCACACAAGAGGGGTGATAAGGAAAGCATGAAACCGTTACCCAGAATGAGTTCTTGACGTAGCACCGCCTAAAGCTGCAAACCAATAATATACAAAGCCATCGATTCCTTACCATTTTCTGCACAGAACCTCTGCTCCTCTAAGCAGCTACATTCGCTCACCTGAAACTGCTTTCTCCCATCTTGTTCCAGTGTGTTCCAGAAACTTGCCAGGGGATGTGAGCCAAGGGCCTAGTGAATGCTGCCCCCTTCTGGAAGAGGAGGGAAGCGCTCTCCTCTTCTGCTCAAACCTCATTGCAGGACTAGATGGAAAAATTCTAGTCTCTATGCTTTCTTTCTCAATCACCCGGGTTGTTAGCAAACAACTACACAGTATGAGCAAGCGCCCGAGATGCTTTAAAAAACTGTTGGATTGTACCGGGGATTCCTAATAAAGAGATGCCGACATTACAAAAATCCACTTTACCTTATTGGGCCTCTGCTAACTGAGCAAATGAGGGCTTCAGAGAAAGAGTCCAACCATTAAACTATACATCCCAATCCTGGAACTGCTGAGAAAATGTAGGGCTACCATTTTATCTCATTGATAACATTCTTATCCAAAGGCAATCTACTTTCAACAGATCATTAAGTAGAAATAAGTACAATGCTATTAGCACAGAGACCAAGAGATAGTAAAAAGGACACAGACACAGACACACAGTACTGGGTATTCTGTGAACCATGTCCCCCCTCACTTATTAATTTCTATAACTCTGTAACCTTATTTATATACTGATAGTACTACATAATATAAAAGATGTTTTTAATGGAATCACCCAAATTCATGGTGTATTTTGCAATAACAAATTTAATCCAAACTGTTAAGTTAGGTCTACAGATATTATAGGGAAAAACGCCTGACCATACAGTCAGGTATAAACAGATACTGTTTGTACATATTGTTGATAAACACACTACTACATTTTCTGTATTTTAATAGTCACAGAAAAAAAAGGGATCACTACACAAGTATCCTTTGGAAACTTAATCGATTTGGCTTCTGAGTTTGGATGGAAAGTTTGGAGGGCAAAAGGCATTGCATTATCCAAATCAAGAGCTTGGAGAGCTAGGTATAGCTTAAAAATTTTCCTTGATTCTATTCTGATGTGAAACAACAGTTCTATAATCAAAATCTCAAACCTCTCGTACCTGCAACAGCTGCTCAGCAAAGTCTTCAGGGCAGATTCAGAGAATCCAGAACACCCAGAAAGGTTTAATCGCACTAAATTTGTGTTCTGAGCAAGATTGCTGGAGAAAGAAGACAAAGTCATAAGAACACCAACAAGACACTCACTCAATCAACAAGCATGAGGCTAAGTGAGACAGTTAAAAGCACACAGGCCTCTGAGTCAGAAGTGAGTTTAAATTCACATCTTACTCTCTGGATGACACCAAGCAGGACGTTTTGCCTTAGTTTATTATCATCTGTAAAATGGCAAGATCAGTACCTTTTTGGTAGGGTTATTAAAATTCAATGATATAATGTAATAAAGGCCTTAACAGTGCTTGGCACAGACAGTCAGTCCACAACAAACATGGATCAATGTACTTTAAAAAAAAACAACCCAGCAATGAAATAAACATTTTTCCATTTCACCCACAATTGGTAAACTTCTACTTATAAAGTCACTAGGTTCTTTCAGTCTTGCCCTCTCCTCTACATTCCCAAATGCCTCATGTTAGTGAAATAGTGATTAAGAGTGAGAGCTCTGGAATCATACTATATTGCCAGGTTCAAATCTTGGTTCTGCCACCTACTAACTGTGTGACTTTGGACAAGTTATTCAGCCTCTCTGTTCCTCAGTTTCCACATCTGCAAAAAGGGAACAATAAGAACATATTTCATGGGGTTGCTGTGAGGATTAAATCAGAATACCTCTAAAGAATCTAGTATCTGGCACATAGTACGTGCTCAATAAATGCTAGCTGCTATTATTGTCATTATTCTATTTTTTTCCCATCAGGCGTCGTCATTTCTTACCTGAATGAATACAATAGTATCTTAACTAATCTAGTTTCTTTTATGTCTGACTGACCCTCTGAGATGCCCAGTGAGTTAATTTTCTAAAATTCAACTCTGACATGTTCCTTCCATCCTCAGAACCACTCTCCTCTCTTCACCACACTTCCCTCTTCACAGCGCACAACAGAATCCAGACTTCCTCCAGCGTGGCAGGGACCCACTCCACTATGATCTGGTCCCTGACCACCCTCACCTGTCACCTCCCTCACTGAGCCCCACGCTCCAGCAATTCCTGACCACTTCAGAGTTTAGACCCAACCAGACTGCTTCCTTCCCCGTATCATGGGGAGAACTCCTACCTACATATTTTCAATACTCAGCTTAAGAGTCACTTCCTGAGAAGGCTGCCTTCTCGAAATTTAATTAGGTCTCTGTGTGTTGCCACACATTCGCCAACGCACCTAACAAACACACAGCACTGTAATTACTTGTTTCTCCCGTGAATGAGGGAGGGACCATGCCTTGATTCATCCCTGTATGTCTAGAACCTACCACGAGCCCTGGAAATATAGTTAGCATGCAAACTTTGGTTGCCTAGGTGAGTCCTGGAAAGTTTTGCAGAAGCTGGAACACTGCACTGGATATTTTCTGAGTCCATCTGGATATGGACAGGACACCCCAGGTACACTCAGGAAACAAAATTAACAAAACAACTGCCTTTGTGACATGCTCCTGGCTGCCACTCACTTGACAATGGGATCCGAAAGCCGTAGGCCTTCTAGACTGAGATTCTGCAACTTGGAGCAGTGAGACAGAAGGCCGTGGAGGGTAGACACATCGATCACCGAGTTCGACAGGTCCATGTGCTGTACACGAAAAGGGCTGAACATAGAAGGAATAAAAAGAGGTTCCACAAGGTGGCTCACACCAGCAAATCCAGATCACATCCGACCCTTCTCCTCCCGACCTGGGCAGTCCATCACAGACAAGACCCTAAATACACAATTCAAATATTAGCTATAGTTTTGGTCATAAAATAAGTTGCTACTAGCTAACTCCCTCCCTTGTTTGTTTTAAAATTCAAGAGCATTTTTGCCAAGTCAAGGTGTTGTGCCAATACAGTCCCACGTAGAAAATTAATTAATGGGCACCATGAGAAGGAGCTGGATGTGGATGACAAAAAGGTTATGCCGGGCTTCCCTGGTGGCGCAGTGGCTGAGAGTCCGCCTGCCGATGCAGGGGACACGGGTTCGTGCCCCGGTCCGGGAAGATCCCACATGCCGCGGAGCGGCTGGGCCCGTGAGCCATGGCCGCTGAGCCTGCGCGTCCGGAGCCTGCTGCTCCGTAGCAGGAGGGGCCACGACAGTGAGAGGCCCGCGTAACACAAAAAACAAAACAAAACAAAAAAAACCACACACCAAAAGAGGGCCTTTTTTTGCCGGATGCAAATTTGTCCACAACAGGATCAGAAACTCAAGAGTAACAAAGCCTTAAAGGATGCCTCACATTTTTTCTTGATCAGAAATGGGCAGTGAGGAAATAGCTGGGCTGCCTTGCATCTGTTGGTGAGGGTTCTGCTTGGCTCCTGCCTCATGGAACTCCGGACACCCATCTACTGAGGACCCCAAGTACATCTAAGACCCTGGAAAGAGCCCAAGAGCAACCCTGCGTTAAAATGGGAATGATGTCACTGAAACCTGTGTCATGTTTCAACACAAAGGCCACACGGCAAGATACGCAACTCTCCATTATGCACAGGTGACCTGTCACAGGGCATACAGCTGAATATAGGAAAAAAGACATTTTGATCTCTTTTCAAGCCCAAGATTTTCCTTTCTTACCTGAAACGTTCAACAAACGGTTGGTCCATAAACGATCGTGGGCAGCGGAAGGCAACCACCCCTCGAGACAGCAGCCGACCAACCACATCTGGGTGGAGGTTTCTGCCCGTGAGGTCTAAGGTCTGCCAGAGAGACTCGTCAAACCTGGAAAAGAGGAGGTGCTGTGTTTGGTAAGCCGGGACACTGGTTACTGTAGGCCCTCAACACCGTTACTAACGTGAGGACACGGCCACTAAACTGCCTTGAAGCAAATTCCGAAGGCATCTTTGTTTTTGACTACACAATTACCTATGATATTTTTAAGGCATTATTGAATAGCTCTTGGTCCTATCATGGATAAGCTTTTATCTTCCTCTTTATATGGATTTCCAATTTAGCTGGTTCAATGCTATCAGGTGCAATGCAATGATCTAGAACAAGAGAATACAATTGCAGGATTCAAATCAATTCGATAACTTTAAAAATGATTGTTCAAATCACTCATCTGATTATCGAACAAGTAGATAGGTTCAAAATGGCCCAAATGATCCCACTTGCCATTTTTGTGAAGCATTTACAGGCTATCTCTATTACCCTAACGAACGTGTAAATGTACCTAAAAGAAAGTTTTTACAACTTTATTATGAGACATAGTCATCAGTTATCTATTAGGAAAAAGTCATAGTTCAGCTCTGTTTTACAATACCTTAAAAGCTTAAAATATATATATATATATATATATGCACAAAAATATAGGTATATACATATGAACTAATGGGAAGGAAAAAGGTAAAAATATTTAGATTTTAGATAGTGTTTCTGAAGCAAAAACGAGGTGCCAAAATGTACGAAACAACACGATAAAGCTTTAATACCCAGAGATTAATTCAATTTAACAAAAACATGAGATCAAGCCCATGAGGAGACATTTTAAATATCTACAAGAATTTTACTTTTTAATATTGCTTGCAGACCACTGGCTAGAGCTTCGAAATAATTCTACACAAATTGTCAACATGTTATTCAACCTCTATTATTAAGAAGGCAGGACTGCAGTGCCTGGCATATAACAAGTACCTAATAAATGTCAGTTATAACTTTTATGACAGTTGAAATGAAGATTAATAGACTCTGCATGGAGAGGACAGCTGGCGGAGAAAGAAAATCAAGATGGGGTCACTTGGGTGGGGATAAGTGAAAGTCAACCACCATTTACCTGCTGCAGTATTCCAGGTGTGCAGACCTCTCTGTGGCTCTTCTAAGCAGATACAGTCAGCCCTCCCTATCCACGGGTTCTGCATTTGCAGATTCAAGCAACCACACATCCCCGGATACAGACAGACTGTCCTACGCCATTTTATATAAGGGACTTGAGCATCTGTGGATTTTGGTATCCACAGGAGGTCCTGGAACCAATACCCAGCGGATACCAAGGGACGACTGTAGCCCACGCCTGTAAATACCTAGAGTGTCTTATTTCCAGCACACCCGTGAATGGGAAGGGTAGGGGCTCCTGCTGTCTCACAACGAGAGTCCTAGATGTGTGGAGGGAGAAGAGAGACAGATGGCCTTTAAGCACAAAGCAAAGCATGGCCAGAGGTTAATGGGTAGGAGAAAAGGTGAAGATGGAAAGGCAGTCATTTCCTCCCCGCTTCTGGCCCGTTACTGCCATCCCAGCTCACCAAGACTCCCCCTGTGCAGCTCACCGTCCACACTTGAAAAGTGCTGCCCCTGAACCAACAAAAACCCCAACAACTGTCGGCTGCCATGCGCTGAACGTTTCTACGAGCTGAGCACCGCCCTGGCATCTTTATACCGCATCCTCACAGCGGCGCTGTCCTGAAGGTACCATCACTCCCATTTAATGTATGGGGGGGGACTGAAGCGCAGAAGTGTCAAGAACCTCGCTCAGGTCCCCCAAAGCCTAAGCGGCAGAGGCTGGCTTCCCACTCAGGTCTAATGCCAGAGCCTCGAGTTCTCTCTCACTGCACTCACTGCCCAGCCCAGCTGGCGGGTGGGCAGCAGCTATGCCTTCGCGCACGCCCATCACTCCCCTCACTCTCGGTACATTGCCCAATAAACATGGGCTACACTGAATACAGGGAAAGGAGGTTTTCAGAAATGGGGTAAGTCACTTCCGGTAGCTCCCTCCCTTCATTCTGAAATAAGACACTCATTATTAATAAAAGGGAGTAGATACCTAGTTTTCTTTGTGCTGCTATATTTTTCTTAGTTTTCAGTTTCACCAGACCCAAATGATAAATAACCCTTCTTTTCTCCTCATCCACATACAGCAGAAGGGGTGAAAAATACTTACGCTAGATGATACCATCTCTTACAAACACTGGAGACTTTCAGAAGTTCAGGGAGGCACAGACAGGAGAAGATTCCTAAGAGCAGCTCGTCTGGAAGGGAGTCCCATGAAACACCTTTGAGGGGGAAAAAAAAAAAAGTGTCTTCCCATCACCATTCTTTTGCCCTCTCAAGTCTACTGAGCCTTTTCATGCACTTAAAGCATATACAACACGTAGCTTAAACAGGGGAATTTAATGCTAAATGAATTCCTCATCCTCACAAAATGTTTTTCTGTTTACCCACTGTCTATGTACCCTGAAGTGGGTACCATACTTTTTCAGCAAAGGAGAAAAGAGAGTATCAAGAATACTTTTCATAACATTCTTCCCTTCAGTGCCCACCAGCCAGTCTTAGGCAAGAACGATACTAACAGTGGTTCACAGCAAGTCCCACGCCGCTCAGATCTCAGACAGCAATGTCTAAGACATCACGATGCTTTTGGTTGCTAAGGAACGCCTCACTTCTCTCTGAAGTGGATTCAGTGGTGGATTTATCAAGTAGTGACCTTATTTAAAAGGCAAAACGAACCTTCCTCCCTCTTCTTTCAGGTTTACAGAAAGCACTCAGAAGTCTATTTACCTAAAAGTGCAATATCAAAAAGGTGTTCTCATCTATTAATTCAACAAATATGTACTGAGCACTTAACTCTGACGCCAGGGATCGTTTCAGATGTTGGGGCGAAAGCAGAAAACAAGACAGACAGAATAATTTTTCATGGAACTTACATTCCGGCGGGAGGAAACGATCACATGATATTAGATGATATGCTAAAAATTGTTCCATATGTTAAAAAGTACATGATATGTTAAAATTGATTAGTGCTATGCAGAAAACTTACGTGAGATAGAGGACAGGATGGGGAATACGGGGGCCAGTTTTCAAAGTCTGAGCACAGTGGCCAGGGAAGACCTTACCGAGCTGGTGATCGCTGAGCAAAGGCTGAACAGAGAGGGAGCCAGCCTTGTGAGTCTCTGGGGTGTGTTCGAGGTGCAGGAAGAGCATGTCTGTTTTAAGGAACAGCAAGGAGGCCAGTGTAGAACAGTGAGCAAGTTGTGGGAATGATGGAAGAGGTCAGAGGGGTGAGGGGGGCCGGGTCAGGCAGGGCTTGAGGAGACTCAGCTTTGACTCTGAAGGGGGTTTTGAGCACAGGTATGACGGCATCTCACGGAGGTTTTAAAAGGATCACTCTGGCTGCTGTGTGCAGAGTAAACTGGAGGGAGAAAAAGGTGGATGCAGGAAAACCAGTTTTCTTAGTCTTATAAAAGCAAACTCTAAACAGCTATTCAACAAGTATTAAACTCTCACATATGAATGTACAGAATTACCCACAAGATCGGGTTAACATGACAATGGCCTAGAAGTCAATAAGTATGCACCAAAGAAATACTGAGTGATTTAGATTAGAGTGGTTAGATGAGTTCAGTAACTTGCCTTCTCCGTCTCTCTCTACCTCCAATCCATCTGCTACACCAATTCTAGTGCTATCCTCTCCTCTCTGTGATGGTCAATTTTAGTATCAACTTGACTGGGTCAGGGGGTGCCCAGATATTTTGGTTAAACACTATTCTGGGTGTCTCTGTGAGGGTGTTTCAGGATGAGATGAACATTTGATCAATGGCCTGAGAAAAGCAGATTGCCTTCCCCAGTTGTGGGCTTGCCTCATCCAATCCAAGGCCAGGTTAGACCAAAAAGCTGATGAAAGAACTGTCTCTCTCTCCTGTCTTTGAGCTGGGACCTGGGTCTCCTCCTGCCTTCAGACCTGCATTGAAACTTGTACCATCTGCTCTGCGGGGTCTCAGGTCTTTGGGACTGAAGATCTTGGGACTTTTCAGCTTCCAGGACTGCACAAGCCAATCCCTTACTAATAAAACTCCTTATATCTCCTATGTGTTCAGTGTCACTGGAGAACCCTAACACTCCCACCTCCCCATTTAAAAGGTGTCAGTATTTACTGAACACGGACATTACACCAGGCTCTGTGGAGAACACGATGGAGAGCTGGAGAGAGCATGGAGAGTGATAAACATGGCAGTCCGACTCTTTTCTCCTATTCCTGGGCAATCTTTTGAAAACCGTCCATGCCCGTCCCTCATTGAGACCCTTCAGTGGTGTCCCTTGAATATTCAGTCTAAAGTCTATACTGCTTAGCATGAAATTCAAAGTTTTCTGGCAATGCCCCACTTATTTTTCTAGGTTCATTATCTAGAAATATGCTCCAGCCATTTGGAGCTACTTGGAATTCTCAGAATGAGTCATTCTTCATCACATCTCAGTGCCTCTGTACATGCTGTGCCCGCCCCCGACTGCTATTAATTTAACAAGTGGCCATTAATGCCCCAACTCCTATGGACGGCTTCCCATGACATCACAAGAACAGGTGGCTTTTTTAACCACGATTTCATTATTTGCTTACTCACCTGTGTAGGCCCCCACAAGGCCATGGGTTCTTGAGAATGAGAACCCAATTTTTTTTCTTTTTTTATACAGTACTTGTATTCTAAGGACACAATGCCTGATACATTCATCCATTCATATATTTATTGAACATGTACTATATGCTGGGATCTGTTCTACAAAGATGAACAAGGCATGGCCTGCTCAGACTTTCAGAGACACAGATAAATAAACAGGAAATTCCAAGCAAGTATCACCATGGGTTGCAGTAGGGTTCAGGGTGCTGTGCTGTGCTGCGCGGGGTATGGGGGTGGAGCAGTGGTCACGGATGTAGCCTCTATGGAAACATGAGGAGGAGAGATGCAGCTGCTCAATGAACCCCTGCCCCTCCCTCTCTAGAGAATAAAATAAAGGACTGACTGAGGCTCTGAAACTTAGGGGCAGACGGAGGAAGGCAGATAGATCATCCACGCTGAGCCTGGACCATGTTCTGGGCAGGTAGCTCCAACAAACCTCCATCACTGCCACACAGCTCCTGGTCCAAGGTCAGTGTGGACAGAGCTTCTCCAACAGGGCTCCTGTCCTGCTCCCCAAACTGGAGAAAAGTTTTTCTTCCATTAACTCTTCTTAACTCCCTGACCTCTGCTGCTTCTCGCATATACAGATCAGATGCTGGCATTTCATTTGGCAAAAAAATCACACACTTAGTCACTTCGAACCTAACATGTTGAGATTTTTACTATGATCTGCACAGACCATCCTGACAGCACGTGCTTGACCCCCGCCACAAGTGTAAGGACTACTGGATTGAGGAAGGAGCACAGCTTCGACTGGAATTCGACTACATTGCCTCCAAGACTACGAACCTTAGGCAAGTTACTCAATCCCTCTGGGGCTCGGTTTCTTCATCTGTAGGAATGGGAATCAGAAGGTTTATCTTGCAAAGTTGTTCACTATGAAGATTAAATAACTTATGACAAGAGGTTAAACAGCGGAGAGTGCAACTTTCTCTTTCTTGCCTCTATTCCTCTCCTTTCTCCATAAAATCTGTACATTTTCCTCTTGTAACCTCTTCTTTTCAATGATGCTTGGAATTTTCACCTACGTGAAAACACCCACGGTGGGAGTAGCGTTTGGACAAGGGCTGCCTGGTATGATTTACTGAGACCCCCAAACTGTCCTCTACCCAAGTTTGGGATCCCCAGAAGCAGATCCTGAGGACATGAACTAAAGTAGTTTATTTGGGAAGTGATCTTAGAAGTACTGGAAAGAG